TAAAAAAAAAAAAAAAAAAAAGATCAGCTAGAGAGAAGCCTTATTCCAAAGGTAGCATTAATAACAGTATTGATTTGCCTTAATGTTTGCCTGTGAAAGCTGAACTTCCAAGACTTTGGTAGATGCTTTTTAATGTTGATTACTACTATTGATTGATAATATTATCAGCAAAATGAATGTATATGGCACCAGTGCAGAGTGAAACTATTTCTGCTATAAAGGAAGAGTCTACTTATAGGTCAGGCTCCTTACTGGAGAGAAGCCTACTTAAGAATAATGGCCATGACAAAACATGAAGGAAAAGAGGATAACATCTACCCAAGTCCAAGAAGATGTTGAATTTAAAATGCCCCTTCAATAATTAGATTCTATATATGAAAAAAGTATAAATTTATTATAATTTCCTGTGTAGGGTCATCTTAAATTTGTTTCTCCCACCACTGCCATGGGGAAAGCAGAAGTAGGCAGGTGGTGCCTACCACTTGTCTCCCCTGCAGCCTGCCCATCTGGTGCCTCCACCCCCTGTTGCCTCTGCCGCCAGCTTGATGCCCACACCCTCTGTGCCTTCCTCAGTTTACTGTCAGGTGCAGCTCCAGTTCCATTCACTCTTGGAAATGGAGCACGTGCCAACTCCAACCCATGCCTGGCCATGCAGCAGCATCCCAGGGCTGGAGCTACATCATTGCTGGTTGGCCAGGTGGGGGATAGAGCTTGCATGGGCTCCCTGCCTGAAACAGAACAAGCCTAAGATGTCTGACAGGAAAGGGCAAGGGAAGAAGAGAGGGTAGAGGTTGTGAAGGAGGAGGTGAAGGAGCTGCAGCAGCCACCTCACCCTGGCCTGACTCAGGCTTAGAGCCAGAGTCAGCTGCAGCAGTCTCCTGCCTCCCACTCCACCTTCTACTTGAATCCAAGAGGAAGGACTTTTTTCCCCTCATGCTGAAAGGGGAAGGGGAACATAGTTTTGGATTTAAGTAAATGTGGTAATTTTAGATTGCACAACCCAGTGCTTCAGGGGACACACTTGCAGTACAGGCAATGGATCATCGTAGGGTGAAGGGATGCTTTGCCTCCTGTATGTGGGCACAATGGAATTAAAGTAAGACTGTTTTGACAGTTAACTTGATTCCACTGAAAGTCTGCATGACTGGTGTGGTGTCTCAGAGCTGTCCTACAAGTGAATGGTATAATAGGTCTGAAATGGAAATTTGTAATAGGTCACGCTTGGGATGCACTCTCAGCAAGGCTTGTGGTGCTGCTTGTCACACCCCAGAAGGGGTGTGAGCTAATTGTATGTGTTCTTTTAGTAGCTGGCTGCCACTGAGGCCAAAAGCCTACTACTACATTTCAGATAAAGGCCTAAAGCTCAGTGACTTTGCTTAGTAGTGACCTTTTTTTTTCTGCTCAAGATTCTGGGCTTCCTCCTTGAAAATAAAATGCTATGTAATGTATGTGTCCATCTTGTCTTACATTTCAGACATTGACTTCGATGTATGTCCATCTTTAGTCCCTAGACACTGTATGATTAGTTTAATGCAGATTAAGCACCCATTCAGAGGAAAGACAGCAATGTGAATTAAAGACATTTTTAGACTATGAGGTGTCTGTTTGGGAAAGTTGAATGACTTGTGTAATGTAAGAAGTTCTCACACTTTTCAGCCCAGAATACCAGGGTGTAGGAAGCATTACATAATATAAGCATTCATTGCATTGCTTTTTTCTGTGATCTTGCAGCCTGTGCATAAAGATTCTTCTTGGAAGGATAATCTTCACCACCACACTGGTAGCTTTGCACTACTAATCAGGAAAATGTTAGATGGGTTCAGCCACCCTCTTCTACCCAACCCTCAAAAGATAACTGACGTCTGCTTTAACTCTGTCCTGTCATTACATTTCTACTGTAAATTGCTTCTAGTAATTCAATGGTCCTTTCTTTTCCATTGACGTTGGATTTTAAATTCAGGTTGATTCCTTGCAGTCCAGTTAAACTAAATTGTATAGGATTGGAGTCAACTATTATGATTTTAAGAACTATTGTCCAGTTCTTCTCCAGAAGCTTTACTTTTTCAAAAAATTTAAACTTTTGGAGCTTTTCTGTTAAATGTTGGTTGGTTCGTTTCTTTTTTCTTTCAATGGGTGCTTGACTTGGTTTAAAATCTCTCTGAGTCTGTTTCTTCACCTGCAAAATGGGAATAATAGCATTTATTCCCAAGAAGGTACAGTTGCTAAATTAATTTGCCTGTCATAGTGTATTGTACTGCTGCTCATCACTGCCTCTGAGCCTCCTGCATGTAAAATCAATAGCAATAGTGAAGCCCCTGATGGGCTTTGTGGAGTCTCTAGAATTTGTATTTTTTAGCTTTTGAATCCTTGGCTGTAAGGTACCATAGAGATGGGAATATTCATCAAAAGTGTAAGTCATGTAAAAGGCTGACTGAAAGGAAAGCTATATGTAAAGTATGTATTTTTGTGCTCTTTCCTTCAGGCAAGTGAAGCCATTGAACTTGCTCTGAAGAAGTTCCAAGATAGGTGGTAAGTACTTTTCAGCTTTTGCTCTTCAAAGGCATCAAATGAACTGGCAAAATAGAAAGTATAAATCTTAAATTAGTCTGCAGCAGGTATTAATCTTCTGTACTGAATTCAGTTTAGGGTCCCTTTTAGAGACAAGGTGCCCTTAATTTTGGATTTGATGAATGGGGTTTAAAAAAAAGGTTTTAATCTATATTTTCACACTAGAATCAATTTCTTGAGAATTAATTATCTTTTTTTTTTCTTTTTCTTTTTCTTTTTAAGACTAATTTATTTAAAGCTTGACTCCAACGGGGGAAATTTGCCCAAATTTGGTTGTATTTTCAGGTAATAGTCTATACTGCCCCATGGGACTGCAAAGTCCTTTTCATTTCAAAGGGCAGATTATCTATTAAAATTTCATTCTGTCCAATTAAGCAGCTCAGGGTAACCTGCCCAGCTCACTTTTGCCTTTACTAATATGATTACTGTGGCTCGTGTCTTAATACCATACTACTGTGAATTTTATATGTACGTATGTGGTTATAAAGAGGAAGCTAATAAAACTAGTTAAAATACCACTAAAATAGTCAGAATGTAAAAGGTAAGAATCCTACTGAAATGTTAATATGACCACTTTACTCAAACTGCTGTTAACCAGCATAGTTCCCTTCAGTTTTGTTGAGCTATGCCCCTAAATACCAACTGAGGACTTGGACAGTCGTGTTTTCAGTGACTTGTTTCTGGATAAATATGTGTTTGACTTCTTCTTTCAATACGGAATTCTTTCCAATAAGATTAACACAATTATATCATTGCATGTTAATTGCTCAGGAAGTTTATCCTTTTACTTGCATTTGCCTAGTGCACAGGATATAGGCTATTAAATAAAGCACTTGTGTTCAAACAGGCTTGGGGTACTTGGCTGCAATTTAATGTTCCTCCCTTTAGTGTAATACAGATTTATTTCACTGAAGTGTCTTTCCTTAGAAAGGATACCAGTGTTTTTGAATCAGTGTCCAAAGGAAACTTGTTTATATGTCCAGTGCTAAAGAGTAGCTTCCTAGATGTTTTTAGTGCATATTATACATCTTGTGTTCATGTTTGAGCATTTGTAAACTTTTGCCTAAAACACATTTTCAATAAGTGCCCCTTTAAACTTGTTCATACTCATACAGTTGGTGTAACATTAATTTAGTTCTTTCAAGAAAGGTCCACGTGTAACAAATGGAACATCATCTTACTTTGAAAATTCAAATAAAGGACTAAGGCGAGGATTTGTAGTTTAAGTATGTTTAGTTATGCAGTCCTTTGACTTAACACAAATCTTCACAAAGCTGAAACCACCTGGGGCAGATTTTCAATCTTTTGCTCCTTTTCTGACCACTCCTGTGAGTAACCGTTGCCAGTGTTGAAGGGAGGGGAGCATTTCTATATCTGCATCCCAGGTATCTTATTTCTGGGACATTTATTTATCTGTAATACTCGCTCTGTTGAAACTTCAAGGGCCTCTAGTGTGTTGAGATGTTGCTAAATGAATCAAGCTCTCTTCCTTAGGGTGGAGTAGAATGTAGGATCTGTCACAGTAAAGTTGCTTGACCTTTAAATACACAGTACTAAACTGTCAATTTAAATCTTACTTGTCTGAAGTTCTGGATGCAAAAATTAGCCAACATCTAAAAGGGCTGTAAGTGGGGGAAAAACAAATTAAAAAAAAAATCTTTGCACATTTCTTAACATCGGTTACTGTTTCATCTGTGTTACTGTAAAGAACTATATTTTCAAAAATCAATTAGACTTGAGCTCCTAAGCCACTTTCAAAATGGAATTTAGTATTTAATGCCACTTTTACTTTATACCAGTGACTACCCTTCCCACTCTTTTAAAGATGAAGTTTTTACCCAGCTTGAAAGGGCTTGAGCTGATGTAGTGTATTCCAGTTGGAGAACTGAAATAAGCTGTACCATTGTAAGGCACCTTTATACCAGCAATTGGTTCTACAGTTGTGTTTATATTTCAGGACAAATAGTAGACTAGGATTAAGTGTAACTGCTTCCATACTGGGAATGCTACTGGTCATACAGTCGAGAATAAAACTGGACTTCTAATCAGCATAGTTATAACAGTACAATTTAAGAACTGATCTGTGCCTTAAGTGACTGTTAATTACACTTTTCAGGTTGTTACCCTTAATTAGTTTCCCCTATTCTCTTTGAAGGATTTTTCTCATATGGTAATTTCAGGGCCTGGAACAATGTGGAATGGAAAGTATATTGGGTATTTGTGGGGGTGGAGATGGATGGAGTTGGAGGCAGGTGTAGTGACTGAAATAACTTTAAGCATTTTGTTTTCAGTTAACCAAACTCCAAGTCAGGCGTGCCCTATAGCAATAGTAGCTCACCATGCTGCATGCTTTTATATATGCTTGACGGCATAAACACTTATATTTAACTGTGTAAACTATTTGAATGGGGAAGAGGTGTGACTCTAAATGAATGAATGAATAAAAATACTATGGTGTCAGTTCAGAGAAATACTTAAGCATGTGCTCAAGTGTTCTTGATTTGTGCAAGCTGCACAGTTTTCAATAGGGGCAGGTACTCATGCTCAAAGTTTGTTATACACTTAAATAACAAAATAAATCATCCACCTATGTGAACAAAGTGCCCCAACTAACACTGCTATAAAATATTCATTCTAGTTTTTTAGACTTTTACTATGTGGACTTAATATTGCATTAATGTATATTTAGCATTTTTATTAAAAACTTTACAGATGAGTTGTCTGTCAGTGACCAAACCAGTTTAATGGAACTTACGCTGGTCTTTTTTTGTTGTTATTTTTATTCCCCCCTCCCATATTTAAAGAAAGAAAGAAAACCTACATCTTATATTTCTAACCCTACAGAGTAGTTAGAGACTCCAGTAAATATAGATACCTGTTCATAAGTTAATTGTTGTGATGATAAACACCTTCAAATGATGCATTTGATCTTGCAGTTTGATTCCTTCCCCCCAACTCCACTGTAAAATTGTAGCTGAGAGGAATTTAGAAAGAGAAACTCACTTTCTAAATACAGCAAATAGCATCAGAGCTGTAACGTAATTGTTCATGCTTTCAGGTACATGATGTCACAGTAACTGTTATCATTTAAATCCTGTAAATATACTATGTTGTGCAGGAAACATTAATGCTTGTATTATTCACCCCCACAAATAGATTTGTAATGCTCACAACAATTTAATGATTTTAAAATTAGGCTCCTGTTATTTTTAAATTGTAACGTTTTAGAGCCTGCTTCTTCATGTTGCTTTTGGTTTAGCAAAGTCACAATATTTAGATTAGTCTTTCATGAAACAAGGTACAAACAGGAATTCAACCAGGCCCCATGATATGTCTTGCCACCGTTTATAATGTGTGCAGGAGAAATGTATTCTACCTTATTTCAATGTAATATTTGCCCAAATGTATGCTATAATATCTTGCAGTGCAGAAAGACTGCAATGACTGCTTTTGCCATACGAAGCTTCAAATCTTTATGGCGCAAGGGGTGCAGAGGAGTTTTCCATTGACTTAGAGGGCAGAGTAGGGAATCTGCTCCTCTTAGCTGTGGTTGGTGCTGTTGATTAGATGAGCATTGAGTTATGCCCTTAATGGTGATTGGTCACGTGGGTTACCAGTTGGTACAGTGGCTGTAACAAAGGTCTGGCCTTCAAAGTGATGTGGAGATTCAGGAATCCAAAATTGGAAGGCTAGGGGAGCAGGTGGAGGTGTTACAGAATGCAACACTGGAGAGCAGGAGGGACCTAACCACAAAAAGCCTGGAAGACTAGGAGAAAGTTTAGGACGTCTTTAGAGGAAGACTCTGGGGAAGGTGATTGTATGTTGTTCTTGAAGTGGGTACCAGCATTTTGAGCAGAGTGGAAACTTGGATTGCAACTTGGTGGCCAAAGGAGAGGAAATTGCTATATACTATACACATAGAAGAGGAAGAGAGAAGGTGGGACATGAGGTAATGGTGGAGGTGTGTGCAAGTAGTATAGATGATATATGCACATGTCCAGGATTTTGTATTATGAAGAACCTCTGAATGCAACAGAAAACAACTTTTAGCTGGCAGGTGAATAGCCTCATGTGCATCTTCAGATGCCTCATTCTCTGGGAAGTGACTTCATGTTAAGCATTGAAACCATAACCAGAACTAGTGAAATCTTGATTTCACACTGATTGGAGTAGGCTAAAAGTTCTCACAGGCCAGTGAAAGGTTCATCCTGCCAATAAATTGACTTTTTTAAACCTTTTAATCGAGACCTGAGCTGACATCTCTTCTGCCCTTATTTAAAGGGAAGGCAAGCTGTACTAAGTGGGAGTTTTGTTATAATGTATGACAGTGAAAGCTAAAGCTTATTTCCAGCACAGGAAGTGGGTGATATAGAGCAACAACAGGTGTCTTGGTTTCACAAAGTTTATTTGTACTTATTGTAGCCCATGCTTCTGCTCCTGAGTCCTGCTTTTTTGGAAACCAAATATGGAAGCTTTTTTACTTGCCATCCTCAGTTTTGTTAGGTCTTGGCCATTGCACATCCAGATACTCCTCTTGTGCACCAAACCTTGTCCACCCATCGCCCTCTTGCCTATCAGAACCATCTGTTTCACTGACCCCACAGTTCCTGTTTGGCCTCCGGCTCTGCTCATTCTCTTTGGGTAAAACTGCCTAGTGCCTTTGTCTGTGCCAGAGCTCCTTTGCACGTGATTGTAACTGACACTATTAGCTTGGTGTAGTCATGAAGGAGGCGGCAGGAGAAAAGCAAATAGTGGGCTATGGTAAATCATGAAGTGTGGAAGGAGTTGGGGGCTGTTGCTGGAAGTTGAATGCCATTTACTTTGCCTAGTGGTCATAAAGCCCTTGCTGTTTGCTGTATCCTTATAGCTGCAAAACCTCTCTGAGTCTCTGCGAATGTTTTCTCCTGTTTCTGTTCCATACAAGTAGAGAAACTACCCAGGCTTGAGGATTTAGAAACTGC